CTTCTGAAGCACCTGGAGCACATGACAAGAAAGACTGTGTGAGGGCTCCACAGGGCACCTACTACATAAGGCTACCTGGTCAAGACTGGGAGATGTAGTATATCTACCTAATATATAAAAACAAACACAGAGAAGCAGACAAAATGAGGAAACAAAGAAATGTGACCTAAATGAAAGAACAGGAGAAAACTCCAGAAAAACAACGAAACGAAATAAAGGCAAGCAACTTACCAGATACAGAGTTCAAGACAATGGTTATACGGATGCTCAAAGATATCATTAAGAACTTCAAAAAAGAGATAGCAAGCATTCAAAAGGAATAGAAACCATAAAAACAGACCCGGTCAGAAGTAAAGAATACAATACCTAAAATGAAGAATCACCAGCAGACTAGATGAAGCAGAGAATCGAATCAGGGATTTGGAAGACAAGGTAGCATAAAACACCCAATTGGAACAGAAAAACAAAACAAAACCCAAAAAAATGAGGACAGTTTAAGAGACCTCTGGGCAACAACAAGTGTAACAGCACTTGCATCATAGGGGTACCAGAAGGAGAAGAGAAAAAGCAAGGGATTGAAAACCTACCTGAAGAAATAATGACTGAAAATTTTCCTAACCTAGTGAAGGAAATAGACATACAAGCCCAGAAAGCACAGAGTCCCAAACAAGGTGAACCCAAACAGGCCCACACCAAGACACATTATAATTAAAATGGCAAAGGTTAAAGATAAAGAGAGAATCCTAAAAGGCAACTAGGAACTTACAAGGGAGCTCCCATAAGATTGTCAGTGAATTTCTCAACAGAAACTTTGTAGGTCAGGAGGGGTTGGCATAAAATATTCAATGTGATGAAAAGGACCTACAACCAAGACTACTCTACCCAGCAAGGCTATTATTTAAAATCAAAGGACAGACACGTGCTTCCCAGAAAAGAAAAAGCTAAAGGAGTTTGTCGCCACCAAACCAGTATTATTACAAGGAATCTTAGAGGGACATCTTGAACATGGAGAAAAAATTTAAAAATATGAATAATAAGGGCTGGCCAAGTGGTGCTTTGGTTAGGAGCTGGCTTGGGATGACAGCTCTGAGCAGCAGGGCCCTGGTCCGGATCCCACATTAGGGCCAGTGACGCTGCACCCTCTACAGCTAAGATGGTGAACAACAGCTCGACCTGGAGCTGGGCTGCTGTGAGTCACTGGCAACGGCTAGGCTGCAGTGGGGCTGGCTGGCAGTGGGCGTGAGCTTTCATGAGCTGCCGTGAGCCACTGTGAGCAGCCGACGAATGGCTGGCAAACAATTGCCTCACCCAGGAAGAGCGCAATGATAATACCAACATGGGCCAGTGAAGCGACATCCTCCACAACTAGACTAAAGAACAAAAGGACAGCAACTTGTCTGTTCCCCTTGCCCCATTCCCCAACGCTGTTCCCCTCCCCCTAGTCCCCAATAAAATCTTTAAAAAAATATATGAATAAAATGGCAATAGCTACATATCTACCAACCATTACTTTAAATGTAAATTGATTAAATGTTCCAATCAAAAGACATAGGAGGGCTGAATGGATAAGAAAACAAGCCTCTTACATATGGTGCCTACAAGAGACTCACTTCAGATTGAAAGATACACACAGACAGAAAGTAAAGGGATGGAAAAAGATAGTTCATGAAAATGGAAATAAAAAAAAATAAAAACAAAAAAACTGGGGTAGCAATACCAGACAAAATAGACTTTAAGACAATGGCTATAACAAGGAACAAACAAGGACCCAGTAATCCCACTTCTGGGTATTTATCTGAAGAAACCCCAAATGCTACTTTGAGGGGTTGTGTGCATCCATATGTTCATTGCATCATTATTTTCAATGGCCAAGATGTAAAGGCAGCCTGGCTGAATGAATGGATAATTGGATAAAGGATAAATTGATGGGTGAATGGATAAAGAGGAGGTGGTACATATATACATTGGAATATTCCTTGGCCATGGAAGGCAATGGGTTCTTGCCATCTGCGGCAGCGTGGATAGACCTGGAGGGTATTGTGCTGAGTGGAGTTCAGACAGAGAAAGACAGATGCAATGTGATTTCACTTATATGTGGAATCTAAAGAACAAAATTAACAAACAAAACAGAAACAAACTCATAGATACAGAGAACATTTTGATGGTTGCCAGATCTGAGGGGGGTTGGAGGTGGGTGAAAAAGGAAAGGGATTAAGAAGTACAAATTGGTTGTCACAAAGAAGTTATGGGGATGTAGGGTACAGCATAAGGAATATAGTTAATAATACTGTAATAACTATGTATGGTGTTAGAAGGGTACTAGATTTGTTGGGATGACAGATGAGAGGAGATTGGGGGGCAGGTTGAAAAAGGTGAAGTGATTAAGAAGTACAAACTGGTAGTTACAAAACAGTAATGGGGATGTAAGATAAAGTATAGGAAATATAGTCAATAACATGGTAGTAAGTATGTATAGTGACAGGTGGGTACTAGATTAGTTAGGGGGATCACTTCTTAAATTATATAAATGTGTAACCACTATGCTGTACACCTGAAATTAATATAAAATAATATTGAATGCTAACTGTAATTGAAAAATTTAAAAGGGAGGAGAAAGGTGAAGGGGAATAAGAGGTTCAAATTTCCAGGTCTAAAATAAATAAGTCATGGGAATGTAATGTACAGCACAGGGAATATAGTTAATAATATTGTGATAGCGTGGTGCAGTGTCAAATGGTTGCTGAACTTATCATGGTGATCACTTTCTTAGGTATATAAATGTTGAATAACTATGGTGTACCCCTGAAATGAATATTAATATAATATTGTATGTTAGCTATATTTTAATTATAAATCTAAAAAAAATTAACTAAAGGAAACAAATGGAGAAAGGGGACTGGAGGAGAATAAGCAGCATCTTTAACTCTCCCTCACCTCTTTCAAGCCTTTGCTCAAATGTTACCTCTCAATGAAGTCTTATCTGACCTTTCTGTTTAAAATTGCAATCCTCCTCAAGTCCTGCAGCACTCCCTGTCTTCATGGCTTTACTTTTCTCAAGCATTTATCACCTTCTACGATACTATTTACTTTATTTTTTTTAACGTATGTAGTTTGTCTACTCCTGCCAGGATATAAGAACCACAAAGGCAGGGATTTTGTTAACTGTTGTGTTCACTGTTGTGTCTCTGGCACCTAGAACAGTTCTTGGCACATAGTTGGCGCTCAATACACATTTTTTGAATGAAAGAATAAAAGAATGAATGGCACAATGGTAAGCTCACAATTATGGCTGCTGTTATCATTACTATCATTTTCTGTGAGAAGGAATGGTTGAGGATGTGAGGACTGCTCGGGACAGTATTTGTTAATAAAAGAATCTGGGAAGGCTTGTAGATAGTGACATTAGTGAAGGAGAAGTGGCAGAAAAAACAAAAAATGAGCTTGTTGGAGGCTTGTAGAACTGATTGGCACCAAGTTTCCAGTTAGAGAATCAGTGAACAAACAGTCTGTGCAAACCTGCTTCTATGTCATCTAACCTCCAAAGGTGACTACTGACAATTCACAGCATTTAATGGTCACCCAAGAAACATAGCCATTTTCCTAGCAGACTTACTCCAGTAAACTTTGTAGAAAAGATGATGTTTTCCAAGCAAACATTATTTTCCTTTTGTTCCATGATCATATCTGTGCTCTCTTCCTCTAAGGAACATTTTGGCCACTAAGAACAACACGAAACCTTAAAAACTACATTAGAGAATTTCCCAGCGCCAATGTCTATGCTTTGGCATTCTAGTATAGCTCAAACTTTTTTTTTAATGTGCTTTTATAATTTTTAGTTATGGCTCCTTGAGACAATTTGAGCTGGTCCTACGTTTTGCTGACAGTAACTTTGAACCAGATATTACAATGAGATTCTAGAATGTTTCAAGAAAAAAAAAGTACATGAATTTTCTGTCGTAACATTAACAAGATATTGGCAGTATTCAAAGAAGATCATGGCTTTTATATACTGCAAGTATAAATGAAAATAAAGCTCTGGGTTTTATTTAATTAATAAACTCTTTTATGTTCTAAGTGCTTCACATAGATTAACTCATTTAATCCTCACAACCCTGAGGGGTAGAAATAGTTTACAGAAGAGAAAAATTTAGGCACAGAGATGTAAGTATGAGGTGTGATAAAACAATATGGTGAATGTTTAAATAAAAAAAATTGTGTGTCTTTAGTTATGCTGTCATGGCTGCCTCGATGTCCTTAATTAATTAAAAACGTTTACATTTCATGGTTTTTTTTACTTTGGGGAAGGGCCAGATGTCCAGTGAATAAGGTGGATGAGGACACACCGTAATGTTTTTATTTGACAGAAATTGCCATATACCAGAAGCAATGTGTGATGCGGAGCGTCATCATGATGGAGGATGAAGTAAAGATAATCACAAAAGAGGACTTTCCAACTGCTTCAGAAAGTGGCAAGAACGATGGGATAAGTGTGTTCGAAGCGAGGGAGAATATTTTGAGGGGGCTAGTGGCAATGTGTCTTTTGCTGTAATACATTTTTTTTTTAAGATTTTATTGGGGAATTGGGGAAGGGGAACAGCGTTGGGAAATCGGGGAAGGGGAGCAGGCAAGTTGTTGTCCTTTTGTTCTTCAGTCTAGTTGTGGAGGATGTTGCTTCACTGGCCCATGTTGGTATTATCATTGTGCTCTCCCGGGTGAGGCAGTTGCTCGCAGGCCATTGGATGGCTGCTCATGGCGGTTCACGGAAGCTCACGAAAGCACACGCCAGCTGCCAACGGCCAGTCCCACTGCAGCCTGCGCCGTTGCCAGCAACTCACGACAGCCCAGCTCCAGGCCGAACTGTTGTTCAACATCTTAGCTGTAGAGGGCACAGTGTCACTGGCCCCCATGTGGAATCCGAGCTGGGGCCCTGCTGCTCAGAGCTGGCGTCCCAAGCCAACTCTTAACCAATGCGCCACTTGGCCAGCCCATGTAATAAATTTTTAAAATTTAAACATTCACTGTATTTTTTTTTTATCTCACCTCATAACTTGCTGGAGGGCTCATACCTGGAGGGTGAATCTGGTGTTTCAACTCAAGTGGTCCCACACTCGAGTCTGTGCCCCTAACACTGGCGATGTGAGAGAAACTCTGTAGGATTGTCTCTCCTGCTTCACACACTCTTTTTACCAGACGTCCTCCACCCTCACTCCTAACTACCTCATAGAAATGGAGCTACCTACTGCTTTAACAAGATTGTTTTTCATCAACATCAAACTGCCTTAGTACTTCTACTCTCACATATCAGATAACTCTGGGAAACTTGTTTTTGGCTCTCTTTCCACTGTTTGAACTCACTAGTATATTTGCAGACAGCTGGTAAACCCAGTACAATCTGATGCAGTGACTTTGAATGTGAGGAAATGGCAACTCCTAAACTAAGGGCTGGCTTGTTCCTTCAGTTCTTCCTTGGTTTTCAAGGCTACCCAGATGTCTGTTGGCAAATTCCTCTACTTGGCAATTAGCTTCCATTTAAGAAAGATCAATGCATGTGTCCATGGTGCCTGTGCTGACTACTCAGTTCCTAACCTCAGAAGGTTTGTTTGTGGGTTAGCTGATGGCTGGCTTTTTGAATGTGGCAAAGGGCCAATCTTTTTTTTCTGTAATATGTGTAGTAGGGGTTGTGGGGCCTCCTGTTGGCATCAACAACTATGAAGTCAGAGACCATTCCCCCATCTGAAAAATTACAGAATGGAAGAAGAAGAAAGTAGGGATATGATTCCATTTCTTAAAATGATTTTATAACTTACATTCTGTAGTTGCAACATTTAGAACTTGTTTAAATCAATTTCCATCGAATAGAGACCATTATGTAACACGTTCAAAAGAGATGTGTGCTCTCTGCTGAAATTTCAATTATAGATGCACGATATTTAAATAAAGTTTCCACAGCATTATTTCTTGGGGCTTTTGTTTTTGTTGTTGTTTTTGAGTGTGCAGAATGGTCTTGTACAGAAAGATGCATAACTAAGTTTATTGAAGCCGAATTTTCCATGGAAACTGTCCAGTGCTCCCCCAATTCACAGGCATTTTATCTGACAGTCTTTCTTCCTCCAGATAATGGCTGGCAGCAACCCACAGCATGGAGGTTATATGCTGCACTTTTGAAAAAGTCTTGAATGGAGCCATTGTTCCCCTGAGATGGTCTGCGTGTTTCACTGAACAGAGAGCAGGGTGTAAAAAAGGCACCTTGTGTGCAACTGTTGGCGAGGTTGGAGAGTGAATTAAAAAAGTCTGGGCAGTGCTGTTTAGAGGAGCAATGAACCCTCTGGAAGCACTGTTAGCTCAGACATTCCAATGCAGTGAGGCAGTCTCAGGGACACGGCTCCCTCCAGTCTCATTTGGAGAGAGAGCGAGGGGGCGAGCAAAGTACATTGATCTGGACCTGTTCTCTTTGCAGAGTTGGGGAAGGCGCCCTTTTCCAGGGATGGGGTGTGATGTTGATGTCACATTCAGATAACTTTCCTGCCCAATGGACCTAGACTTGCCTTGAGTAATAACGGTGCAATGACTCATTTGGAGGATTCAATGTTAACTGCTTGTGCATCCACGAGTTTGTAACAATCTAATTCCCATGAGCCTAAATTAAAAAAACAAACAAACAAGTCTTTGGGGACTCCAGATGATTATGTTTGCTATTACTAGATTCATTAAATGCATTATAAAACCATAATATAAAACTGTGTATTAAATAAATAGCCTACCTTGTTTATTGTCCGTGATGCTTCATTTTTCCTGGCTCTTCCATTCACCTGTCCAGTACAGTGTAGGCTCAGGGGTCGAAGTAACTGGCCACTCCCAATTGCTCCAGAGCTAAGATCTCAAGCTCTTAATGAACAAAGTTTCCTCAGAGTCCTTCGCAGACATGGTTACAAAACCAGCTCACAAGGGGAGGAGGTAATGTTGATTTTCATTAAAATCCTAGAGGTAAGAAAACAGCAAAACAGTTTAAGGACCAAGTTGGCATATTTTCCTTATAGGCAGAATTCTTTGGTACCCTCCTGTGCATTCTTGCTTTTAACCACTCCAGTGCCCTGGAGGCTCAAAGGAAGGAAGGTTGCTTTTAAGAGTGGCCTGAAAGAAAGGGCCAAACTTAAGCAGGAAGAAAGTGTGTGGCAGGAAGAAAGTGTGTGGGAGGAAGTGGTGATGCTCTAGTCAGAGGCTCAGTCTAAGAACAGGTAGAGTTGGAATGGGAGGCATGTAGGTCCAGATGAACCAGGACTTGTTGGGTTTCTAGAGTCATAAGGAGTCAGTTTGAAAGGCAGTAGGGGGTCAATGAAGGTTTCTGTGCAGACTAAAGTTGCAGAAGAGAAAGAATAATATGGCTGTGGTGTGAGGGATGATTCAGTCCAAGGAGAGGACAGATGGAAGGGGATATGGAACACAGAAACTGACCCTGACTGAATGTAGGAGGAGGGGTTATACCTACGGAAGGGTCATTTGTCCATTAGAATAGGTAAAGAAGGACAAGGAACAGGTTTAGGGGCAAGGGAGGGGGATGATAATGGGATTTTTCTCCAGGTCTCTGGCTCTCCTGTTTGCCAGCTGGTATAATATTGAATGTGAACTATAATTTCATATATATACATATATATGAAAATATAGTCACGGGGTGTGGAGTACAGCAGAGGGAACAGAGTCAATGGAACTGGAACAGCTCTATACGATGTCAGGGGGAGTAGTAGATTGGGGGAGGGGGCGTTATCACTTTGTGAGGGGTGTAAATGTCTAGTACGTTGTTTCGTACACCGGAAACTAATTGAAAAAAAAAACACCAAAAAAAACCAAAAAACCACCTCAGCTGCTAGGGAAAGCTCCGTGAAGCCTAGTACATTGTTTTGTACACCGGAAACTAATTGAAAAAAAAAACCACAAAAAAACACACAAAAAACCACCTCAGCTGCTAGGGAAAGCTCCGTGAAGCGCCTATAATTTCTGGCAGCGGTGAGCATCTCCATGTTTGCTTTAGTAATGAAAGAGCACTGGATTTGGAGTCCACAGACCTGTGTGGCCACTATTAGCAGCAAAAGGAGTATCTCCAGACCCAATGTACTGGGCACACTGTGGTCCTCAATAAATATTTCTTATAAGAATGAAAGACCAAACGGATTGGAGCGTTGGTGCTGTATTTACTAGAGTAACTTTAGTCAACGAATTTAACCGTTATGAGACTCAGTTTCCCTGTCAGGCAGGGATGGTCCCCTGGGGATACGTGTGCGCCTAAACTCCCTCAGCCTGAGGTGCAGAGTTCCCGCCCTCCCCCAAACCCCCGCAACCAGGCGGCGCTCTCGCCAGCTCCTACCTGGGCCTGGGCCGAGGATGGCCCCCGGGGCGCAGGCCAGGCTGGGGTCGCGCTGCCAGCGGTCAGGCGCGGGGTGGCAGCCGGGTCCGCCCCTCGCACCCGCCTTCTCCGTGCCGCCCGAAGCCGGGGGCGGGCCCGCCTCAGGCCGCTCCCCACGCCGCTCGGCGGCCCGCGGCGGCGCTCGCGGCCTCTCACCCGGGGCGGGAGAGTTCTGGGAAAGCCCGGCCCAGGGCGGGGGCCTCGCTGCCGCCCGCGCCGCCGTCCGGGCAGCGCGCAGAGCTCGGCGGGCGCGGAGCGAGGGAGCGGCGCCCGGCTGGG